GGCTCAAGTGGTAGAGTGCTAGCCTTGAGCTGAAGAGCTGAGGGACAGCGCCCAGGCCCAGAGTTCAGGCCCCACGACCAGACCCAAAAAAAGAAAAAGAAGGAAAGAAACTAGGTGTGAGTTATAGAAACTCTGTACTACATGCAGCTTTTAAAATATTTATTGTCAAAGTGATGTACAGAGGGGTTACAGTTACATAAATAAGATAGTGAGTACATTTCTTGTCATGAAATTTTTCTTAATTCTTATTTTTATTGCAAGGGTGATGTGCAGAGGGGTTGCAATTACATTAGTCAGTTAATGAGTACATTTCTTTTTGAATAGTATTACCTCTTCCCTGTTTTTTCCCAGTTTTTTTCCCATCCCAACTCCCCTCCCCCCAAGTTGTATATTTCATTTCCAACATTGAAAGTGGCCTAAGATTTTAGATCCAATTGAGTTTGAAAATTACAATGCTCAAAAAAAAAAATAGGGAGTTTTTGAAGGCAGTATTTTGGAAGTGTTGGCATTACAATGTAGAACTATTTGATAAGAATAGTACAACAGGGCTGGGAAGGTGGCTCAGTGGTAGAGCACTTGCCTTGCATGCCTGAGGCCCTGGGTTCGATTCCTCAGCACCACATAAGCAAAAAGAAACAACCGGAAGTGGCGCTGTAGCTCAAGTGGTAGAGTGCTAGCCTTGAGCTGAAGAGCTGAGGGACAGTGCCCAGGCCCAGAGTTCAGGCCCCACAACCGGACCCAAAAAAAAAAGAATAGTACAACAGACTTGTAGAGAGCATTCCAAAGACTACGATAAGTGGACAATCTGAGTAAGTCTTTATATACCAAAGAACAAAATAAATAATAGAAGTTACCAAGTCCAGATGGGTTATTTAAGAAAAACTTATGCTAATTGTAATAGACAATTAGTAATAATTAGTAAATAGTCTATACTAATAGTCTATCATCTCTTCCAGAAGAGAGAAGCAGAAGGCATGCTTTATAATTCATTCTGTAATACCTGTACCTTAATATTAAAACCAGACAAAAATAATATAATAACATAAAAATATAGGCTAGTATGTTTCATAAATATAGTTGCAAAACTCCTGAGTGAAGTAGCAAAGTGAATCTTAGCAAAGTATAAAAATAATTATATACCATGGCTCAACATTTGAAAATTTATTAATATATTACTTTAGCAGGCCAAGGAGAAAATTAATGATCATATTGATAAATACAGAAAATGACTTACAAAATCATACATGTGGGCATGCATATACAAACACACACAGACATACACCTACAACCTCTCAGCAAATTAGGAACAGAAAGGAAATTCCTCAACTTAATAAAAACATCTACTAAAAACCTGTGGGTAATACAAAAACAATATTAGTGGTAGAAACTTTCCTATTATTAAAATAAAACTAAGAGTAGTATCAGGTAAGACTTTCCCTTGTCATCACTGCTATTCCACATTCTAGTAGAAATTCTAGCTAATGCAATAAGACAAGAAAGTAAATAAGTGCAGACTGGGAGGAAATAAATAAAACTTTCCATTTGCTGATGACATGATTTTCTGAAAAATTCCAAAATAAATGGTGAAAAAGGAGAGATTAAGCAATTATAACAAGCTTACAGAATACAAGGTTAGTGTAGAAAAACAAATGGAATCTGTAACACAATAAACTGCATTGCATTGTCATCCCTAAATTGAAATTCTTAGGTTCTAGTAGAATATGAGATCTATATGAGAGCAACTACAAAACTCTGGTGAAATATATATAATGTTAATAGAGAAGTATTTCAGGGTCCCAAACAGAGGAATCCAACATTGTCAAGATTCCAATTTTTTCCAACTTGATCAGTAGACTCAAATACAATCCTAATCAAAATCTCAACTATTTACCTTGTTGTTGTTAATAAACACCATATATTTAAAAGGCAAAAAAAAAAAAACCCAACCCAATATTAAAGGTGAAAACAAAGCAAAGTACTTGACTTCAAGACTGACTATAAAGCTATAGTCATCAAAACAGAATGATATTGCCAAAAGAAGAGACCAATAAATCAATGGGACAAAATGAGTTCACATAAATATAGTCAATGATCTTTGAAAATGGAACAAAGACAAATACAAGGAATGAAGTCAGACTTTTCAACAAAAAGTACTAAAGCAACTGGATATCCACATGACAATAGATGTGGCCTTTATCTTTCACTATACTAGCTCAAAATGGATTATAGTCCTATAGAAAACCAAAATAATCTGGCACATAGCAATAACTTTATAGACACAACGAACACCAAAGATACAATCTATGAAAGAATTCACAAAATGAACTTCACTAAAATTTAAAAGTTCCATGAAAGACAGATGAGAAGACAAGCTAATGGGAAAAAATGTTTTCAAGAAATACATCTGACTAAAGCCTATTATACAAAATACATGAAAAAAATACTTTAAACTCCACAATAGGACTACCAAAAAAGTAATTAAAAATGTAACAAGACCTGGACAGAAATTTCACTAAGGCAAATATAGATGGCAAGTGAGCCTATGAAATAATGTTCGTTCAACATGATGTCACAGGGGATTTTAAATTAAAAATGAGATGCACACCTACCAGAATAACCAAAATCTGAAACACTAACACCACCAATTCCTGACAAGGATGTGAAGCAACAGAGATTTTATGTATACCTGGTGTGGGGATGTGTAATAGTAAAGTCAGTGGAAAGCAATTGGGACAAGTTTTTGTGTGTATTTGTTTGTTTATCAAGGTAAGCATACTCTTACCATATGATCAGCCTCCATGCTTCATGATATTTACCCAAAGGAATTGAGAATTTGTTTCCATGTTTTAAAAAAACTGCATATGAATGTTTATGGCAGCTTTATAACTGCCTAAACTTTGAAGCCACCAAGAAGGTGAATAGCTAAGTATAACTTAATGCATCCTGATAATAGATAATTCAACAATTAAAAGAGAAGAATGATCAATCATGAAAGCACATGGAGGTACCGTAAATGGATACTACCCTGTAAAAGAAGCCCATTAGAAAAAGCTAAACACCTTGTGATTCCATCCTGGGAAATACCAAAGTGTTAAGACAATAAAAGAATCAGTGTCAGGAGTTGGGGGAGGGGTTATCATACATGAATAGGCAGAGCATCAAGGACGTGTTTAGAACAGTGAAATAATTCTATAAGTTACTTCAGTGGTGGCTGAATGTCATTATACATTTGTCAAAATTCATAATGGCAGTTTTTAAATTAAGGAAGCGTTTCCTTCATTTTGTATATGAACATTATGCTTACATAGATGATTGAGAAAGCGTCCCAAATTGTATTTTTTAATCTCAGTTATTATTACATAATTTTAATCTTTTGCAGGTATGCAGTTTTGTGTGGATGTGTATCTGAGTTTGAAGGCTTACAAAACAAAATCAACTATGGACATCACTTCAAGGTATTTCTTGAAGGAAAAAACCTCTTGTTTCCATTTTCTGGAGTTCATTTTGATAAATATTACATTATATGATCAGAGGCACTAAGACATTGAGCCTTTGCATTCCTCCCCGAAGAGAATTCTTGTTCAGTCTCACTGTGTGGAATCTCTAGTGTTCTGGTATGTTTTAGATCTAGCTTCCACATATGAGAGAAAACATGCGCCATTTGTCTCTCTGAGCTTGGAAGTTAGTTAAAATACTTAAAAATGTTTAAATTATGGAAGGTAAACTCTCCTATTCTTTTGTCATTTAAACAGAAGGAAATAAAATGGTACTCTTTTAAATAGTACTATGACAAAAAGAATCAAACTATTTAGGTGGTTAAATATTATTATCCCAGATCCTGTTTTTTTAAAAAAGAATTTAAACAGTAGATAAGAATTATTTATTTTTAAAGATTAAGGATTGACCTGTTAGTCATGAGCTCACCATCATCATAAATATGGCAGCAACTAGTCTAGAGCATGAATTTACTACAATGCATGAGCAAAATAAGTAATCCACATACAAACCATTTGCTATTTGCCTTTAAGGATAGTTTAGTAAATAACCTCCTAGGATCAGTAATTGCAGGAAGGAGAAACAGTTCTTCCCTGTTTGCTGGCTTCCTGAGAACATTCTGGCAAAGCAAAAGGAATCTATTCCTTGCCCATATTGCTCTGTTATATTTTCTTTTGTTACATCCTACTCCATACTCCATGTCATTAGGAATCTGTATCCCTCTCTGGGCAAATCTAGTGAGCTCAGAGGCAAATATTCAGCCTGAATGTTTTCTCTTCTCATTGTAGCATTTGAGTTTTTGATTGCTTATTGCCTTTCTTGCAGCCATAGTTTGGTTTCTCTTTGCAAGTGTCTTTGATCATTGAATTGTCACAAGTATTTAACTGTATTAATGGTAAGGATGGAGGAGGTTTCTAGGACAGTGAAAAACCACCTTAGAGTTCACTGGATTTTAGAATGGAGTCATTCGGAAATATCTGAAACTTGAGAGTTGACATTTCCTTTTGCTGTTTTTTAGGAGCATCTAGATATGGCAATCGAACTTTTACCTGCAGAACCCTTTTTGTATTATCTCAAGGGAAGATACTGTTACACTGTAAGTTGAGTGTCTATGCTCATAAATCTTACTTGAATGCACTATGAGGATATGATACATTTTCAGTCATCTACTCATTCTTTGATTTTTTTTTTACCTTGGTGCTTATTGGAGGGAGCATCACAAAATCAGTATAAATTTTAATGCAACATACATGTTTTATCTTTCACTGTGAATTTATAATTTACATGTTATAATATGTAATGTCTATTTTATAATACATAAGCTAGCACTTTATATATTGCACACAACTAAGAGGTTGCAGAATACTTTGTGCTCTCTCTGGTTGAGGTCAGGCATTCACACACTTGTACGTGTGGGTACATTCATAGTTCGGTGGGAAGGCTACTTTTCATCCCACAGGGATTACAGAACAAAAATATGTACTAATTTAGTGTCAGAAGATGATTCAGTGTCATACACACAAAATATGTTCAAGTGTATATGTGTGTGTGTGTGTGTGTGTTGTTCCTTCTTTCAGGACTCTAATTTAGAAGAGATATGAGACATATTGAAGTAGTTTGATGTGAGTACCAGTCATGCTAAGACCCAGTGTCTTAAGAATTTTATTAGTTTACAGAGGAGTAATAGAAAGCAAAAATATTCTGAATGTAACAAAGTTTGAAAATGTCAAAAAAAGTTGCCACAACAGGAAAATGCTATTTTAAATATGGAAAGTAGGCTGAGAAAAAGCAGTAACCTTTTCATTAAGGTCAATCATCTCTATGTCTATCTCTGTATCTCTATCTTCCATGCTAAGGATCACATCCAGGGCTTCTTGTCTGCTAGACGAGTCCTCTATCACTGACCCCTGAAAGAGAATTATGGGGGAAGGTTGCTTTTATTGAACAGCTTTAGTATGCTACATATGCATTTTATGCTTTATATTCATTGTTGCATTGAATCCTTCAAGCAGTTCCAGTTTTAAAAGATTAAGAAACTAAACCAGGCGCTGGTAGCTTACGCCTATAATTCTAGCTACTTGGGAGGCTGAGATCTGAGGATCATGGTTCAAAACCAGCCCGGGTAGGAAAGTCCATGAGACTCTTATCTGCAACTAACCACCAAAAAACCAGAAGTGGTGCTGTAGCTCAAGAGCACTTGCCTTGAGCTGAAGAGGTCAGGGACATAGCTAGGCCCAGAGTTCAAGCCCCATGTCCAACCAAAATAAATAAATAGATAAATAAAATTAAGAAACTAACTCCTGGGGCTGGAAATGTGGCTTAGTGGTAGAGTGCTTGCCTAGTATTCATGAAGCCCTGAGTTCAATTCCTCAGTACCACATACACAGAAAAAGCCAGAAGTAACACTGTGGCTCAAGTGGTAGAGTGCTAGCCTTGAGCAAAAGAAGCTCAGCGACAGTGCCCAGGCCCTGAGTTCAAGCCCCAGGAGTGGCAGAAAACAAACAAACAAACAACAACAAGAAACTAACTCTTCATGTTCATAAATGAAGTAGTTTATGAAAGAGCCAGTGGTGGAATTCAAGTTTAATTCAAAATTCATGCTTTTCATATACTGCCACATAGGAAAGAAGCTTACATTTTGATAAGGAAAAGAAGAAAGGTAAATAATTTTTCCCCATTTTTTGTCCTAGATAGGAGATTGCAAAGTCAAATAATGGAATGATTATAGCACTCACATTTTAGTTATCTATTGAATGTTATAAAATATACATTGATCTCTCTCTCTCTCTCTCTGAAATAGTGAACTGTTAACTATACCATTTGTTGTTTAAAAAAAATTGTAATACCTCCCAACAACTCCTACTTTTTCATGCTATTTACTTTCTTTTGAAGCTGAGTTATCTGGAAGAGGTTACATGGAGAGGTCCATGTTTTACACCTCTTGGTGTGCTCAGCAGCAAGCCCAGATCTTCCCACTTAAGATAAGCATCTCTTCATTATACTCATAAATTGATATGTTGAATTGAAACCCCTTTGTACAACTATTTAAGGATAATAAAAGAATTAATAATTTTTCGACTTTATTTTTATTTGTTATTGTGAGGATGATATGTAGAGGATTTACAATTATGTAAGTCAGGTAATAACTAATTTGTTTTTGGGCAGTGTCATCTCCTCCCTCATTTTCTCCCAGTCTTTTTTCCTCCCAACCCCCCAGGTCCCTAAGTTGTGTAGTTCATTTCCAACCTAGTGTCTAGTGAGTATCACTGCTGAATTAGTTCACCCTTTGTGTTCACCATTTCTGTGCTTCCCCTTAATAAATTTTTAAATAGGTATCTTTATAGCAAGTTGTTGCTTGAATGGCTGAGTAACTGAAAAAGAAAACTTTTAGAAAATGAAGGATATACAAGCAGTATAATAATACTTAACTCAGTCAAGAATAGTCAGTTATGCAAGAAATAAGCCAACAGGAACAAATGGACAAATAGAACAGAAATAAACCTAAAAGACTTTCAAGCAGAATCTTGAACAGCTTTGTATAATGTATTTTATTAAATAAAAGATATTAAGGTGAAATGGGTGATAACCATGAACAAAATTTACAGCTGTTCTCTGAAAATAACCTATTAGTTTATAGTTTTGAAACAAGTGAAGCTGTAACTCACTACTGGACTTGATAGAGCTTTTATCTTTTATTCCAGGATATCAGTTTTTATAACATTTACAGTAGTTTGTCTCTTACTGACTATAGCCACAAAATTTAATCAAAAGGGAATAAACTGGAACTTGTCTCTACTGCATGTTTGAAGTTTTAGTTAAATCATTTCACAAAAAAAGTCTGTGAGTGTGTAAGGTAAGCATATGAAAAGCCATTCAACGTATTTAGTACAACTAAACACATAAAACCACAGGGAAGGAATCACTTTATACACACTAAAATGGCTCAAATTAAAAAGACAATACCAAGGATATTTGGGCTCTCAAATTGAGTGATGATAATATAAGAAATGAAAATATAGCTGTATACATAGACTAACACCTAAGGGGTCACAGAAGCTTAAGCAGCTTAACAACACAGATGAAACATCAAAGCATTATGCCAAGAAGACACAAAGCTTAAGTGTATAATGGTCTTTTTTTTGGGGGGGGGGTCCGGTCGTGGGGCCTGAACTCTGGGCCTGGGCGCTGTCCCTCAGCTCTTCAGCTCAAGGCTAGCGCTCTACCACTTGAGCCACAGTGCCACTTCCGGCTTTTTTCTTTTTGCTTATGTGGTGCTGAGGAATCGAACCCAGGGCCTTGAGCATGCAAGGCAAGTGCTCTACCACTGAGCCACCTTCCCGGCCCCTTAAGTGTATAATGGCACTGATGTGAAACTCTAGAGAAGGTAGGCTATGGTAACACATCAGTAATTGCCTGGCAGTAATAACAGGATGAGCACACTTAACTGCAAGGGAGAAGGTATGAACTTTGGGGATGACACCAACGCACTCTATTGGTTGTGGTAGTGTGAAATTGTGTACATTTATAAAAACTCATAACAAATAGTATAAAATTGTAAATAATATATAAAAACTCTATGAGGCTTATCCTTCAATAAGCACTGATTTAATATATTCATAGCCATCAAAAACTGCGGAAAAAATAAGTAAAAATTATATCAGTCAAATTGTAAACAAAATACATATGTGCATAGGTACACACACATACATAAATTTAAAGGCAAAATTATCTCTAGAGATAAAGAGAATAACAGTAAAATAGTAAATCAGTTCACCAAGAAAGTGTTTTAAAGCCAGTATGCTCCTAGTAACAGCCTCAAAACTGTAAAATACCACTGGAGACGTGGCTGATAAGTACCTGCCTAACAAGTGTGAGGATCCTAAGTTCTAACTTCAGTAAACACCCAAAAAAAAATCTATAAAATAAACATACTCGATTACCCAAAGGAAGAGATCACTCAAGTATTTGTACTTATATTTGTCTTATCTAAATGCATACATATAAATATGTTATATACATTTATATTGAATTGAAGAGATTAGATTCAAAAGGTGAATAACTTCTAAGAGTGGTATTACTCTGCCTTTGCAGATCTCAAAACTGAGTTGGATCGAGAAAAAAATGGCTGCTACTCTGTTTGGAAAAATACCATCCTCAACTATACAAGAATCTTTTCACAACTTCCTAAAGGTATACTTTCTCTCTGTTATTCTAGTGTCAGACTGCCTGCTATTTTCACCAGTCCCTGCTACCCCTGATGTCAAGGAAATGTTTCTCTTCTTTGTTGTATAGTTCTCTGCTTGAAACCCCAGAATGAATCCTGGCTTTTACGATGCTCTATTTTGAGCATCATATGATCCAAACTATGCTTCATACATAAACATTTTTGATCCTCTAGCTATGCTAGTCCTAAGAATAACAAGATCCTTTTTAAAAATCATCCAGCTATGTACATGAGACTTTAGATACAGCAGCCCCATCTTATTATCCTACCAAATCTGGAAGCAGCTCCTCCTCATGTAGCATGTGTAGGAACAATCAGGCTCTAATTCAAACTTGCTTCCCACACTACTCATGATCTTAAGAGGTAATTGGTTTAATCTTAATTAAAATATCCCCAAGGGAGAGTTATTTTAAAAACTACCTCCTAAAAGCCTTATAGACATTTCTGTAGAAGACTCTTAGGACATCAGATCCAGTATTTTTATTCTTACATTAAAATGCAAAGCTATTATATTAATATAACTTTGAAGAGTTATATGAAGGTAGGCACTCATGGAAATGTATTATGTATCTAGTCATATAATTAACATCTGATTGGTCTCATTCCTTTCTCTGGAACTGATTATAAAATCTTAGTTACAGGTTAAGGATCTGAAATTATGAATGTCTCAAAATCTGAAACTTGAGTACCATCAAGTCAGCTCTCAAAAAGTTTCAGATTTTGGAGTTCTTGCTCCTAGCCATCTCTTTATAAAGAGTTCAAGGGACCAGGACTTTGTTTCTAGGCAGAGCATCATTCAGTTGGGTCCTGTACAGGCTTTAGAATAGGAAAAATGAAACTGGGAGTGAGCCTTTTCTGTCTGCATGACCTGGATGTCTTCTTTTATTTTTCTTACATCATAAATCGTTCATCTATGAAGTAGGCATAGTAATACCTACTTTGTACAGCTTTTGTAAAAATTATACACAGCAGTGCCTGCCATCGTCTTGTCCCAGAGGTCTAGCACATTAAGGATTGCAAGTAAATATTTACCTGTACCTATATAAATATAGATATACATAGATATAGATATTTTGTTCTTTATTAATGGAAAATCTGGTCTTCCATGGCCTCAAAGTTGACTAATCATCATCCATGACTTCCCTATAGAAATGCTTTCAAGCTCCCTATAGAAATGCTTTCAAGCTGGATTAAGATTCCCATCTCATCCAAAATTCTGCCACTCTTCTCTAGGGCAGTGACAGTCAAAACTGCTACCTGTTAACATCATTGGAGCTTTAAAATATGTCACCCAAGGCCATGACTCGCAGTAATTGTTTGAGAGTCTCTGTGTACATTGAAGTATAGTTTATATATAATAAATTACGCCCATTTCAACATACTTCAATGAAATCTGACAAATTTATATCCCTGTGTAATCATCACCATTTCAAAACATAGTGTATTTCCATCACCATGAAGTTACCTTTGGCCCTTTACAGGCAGTTTTCCACTCCAGGTAACCACTAATCTGCTGTCACCATAGATTAATTTTGCCTGGTCTAAAATTTTATATAAATGGAATCATACAACTTTTGCTTGTATGCATACGTGACTTCTTTCACTTAGAATGATTTTAGATTCATTGTATTTAGTACATTGTTATTACTTGTTTTTTTATTGCAGAGTAATATTTTCTTATCGGTATTATACTACAAGATTTATATCTTATACAATCTGTGAACATTTGAGTTATTTCCAATATGTGACTGTTTTGGATAAAGCTTCCATAAATATTTATATGCAAACATTTGTGTGGACATGTTTTTATTTTTCTTAGGTTTATATCTAGGGACTGAATGGTTGAATATATAGCACATGTTTCTGAAGTTTGATCAGTAGTTTTGAAGCTTTCAGAGTGATTTCTGGAAACCTATGGCAGAGTTGGGAACTACGGGACCCAGGAATGAGTGAATGTAGTAGAGGACAGGATGACAAAATTGATAGATCAGCAGCCATGATTTTACATACTGTTTCCAATTGTAGGATCTCTAGTCTTTATCAGTTGTTTCCCCAGCTACTAAGCTTTCTTTTTTCTTTTCTTTTCTTTTTTTTTTTTTTTTGTCGGTCGTGGGGCCTGAACTCGGCTGGGCGCTGTCCCTCAACTCTTCAGCTCAAGGCTAGCGCCCTACCACTTAAGCCACAGCACCACTTCCAGCTTTTTTCTGCTTATGTGGTGCTGAGGAATTGAACCCAGGGCCTCATGCATGTGAGGCAAGCACTTTTCCACTGAGTCAACTTCCTAGCCTCTAAGCTTTCTTTTATGTGCTGTTATAGTTAAAAAAAGAAGCAAGCAATTCCTTGAGTTTCTATTTTAAAGCATAGCTCATTATTCAACAATGTTGATTAAGCAGATACCTAATATCAAACATACTATAAATGTAGGTAACGCAGAAGTGACCAGCACAGCTCCTGCCTTTAAGGAGCTTGGATAGCCAAGAGCAAGTAAGCACATGTAGTATTCTTTGCCACATATTATGACAAAGACTGTTCTAAGAGTCTCTCTAGAGAGAGAGACTAATTCAAGCATTATATTAAATACTACTCTCCTTTTAATTCATTAAGGAATTTGGTAAAAAGTCAAAATTGGCCTCACTTTGGAAATTCAGTTTTTTCCATAGCCTGGCTGTTCCTTGGGGATTTTTTATGTTTGTGTGCTGTTCCTGGGCTTGTGCTCAGGACCTGATGCTGTCCCTGAGCTCTTGTGCTCAAGGCTACTACTCTGCCGCTTGAGCTGCAGTTTTACTTCTGACTTTTTTGGTGGTTAACTGGAGATGAATCTCACAGATTTTTCTTCCTGGGATGGCTGCAAACCACGATCCTTAGATCTCAGCCTTCTGAGTAACTGTGACTTCAGGCATGAGCCACCAGTGCTCAGCTTTTGGTTTGTTTTTTAGCCATAAGAACAAAATAAAAATTAAAATATTCTGATTTATAATAACTTTTATTAATTAAATCTGGGCACTAAAATATGTATAAAGGATTCAAAAGTATACATTAAAGAAATAAGCTACTTAGAGATGCATGGATTGAGGCAAATTATCCAGATAGGATTTGCACAAAGCTGAGGCAGCTAGTGGACCTAGAAGGAGGAAAAGTTGACCAAATTTCAGTCCACGCCTTTTTATTAGACTAGCTTAAAAATAATACTGAACTACAAATGTTGAAGTGGAAATGGTTAGACAAGAGAAGACGTGGACGAGCCAGGCTCCACCTACTCCATGGGAGGCTCCACAGGACATTCAAAGCCAGGCCTGGCTGGGTCTGAGCTACAGCTTCCTTTGGCCTTGCTAGTTCTCTTCCACTTCACAGTTAGACATGTGTTTTAGTCTCTTTCCAACAAGCATGTAGGATCGAGCATGTTTTTGGTCAATATTGATAATAGTAGAAATAGAGAATATCATTAGGGAATGCTTAATTTAATCATGGAATACCTATAGTATGAAATATGTCTCCTAGGAATAAAGAAGTAGAACTTTGAATGCTAACATGAAAATGAGTTTGTAATACCTGAAGGGAGGGAGTAGCTTAAGGCTCACATTTTAAAAAATGGTCTCATTTTTTTTTCCCTTTGCCCTGGACTTTTACGAAGAATCTGATAGGGTATGTGTCAAACTGTTGATAGTGCTTACTCCTGGGAAATGGGATTGAACTGAGAAGAAAATTTGAAAGGAGAAGCTTTCACCTTTTAAATTTTGGAAATGTCAAGATAGTTTGTATCTTGTAAAACAAGCATATTTTTGGAAGGTTTTAGAATTGTCCCTCTCTTAGATTCAGCTTCCTTCTAGGCTTGGGGTTATCACTTCGGGGATTGAGGTTAATACTTTGCTCTAGCATTACCATATCCAGGAAAGACGTCTTCTCTCCCAAAGATAAAGATACATAATTGGTCCATAAAGGAGAAATAGTGAAAGATAAAATCCCTTTTAAATAAAAGCACCTCCTTAAGTTCCTTCTCTGCTGTTGTGTACTACTTGAAATAGGTGTTTCAAAGATCTGTCTTTCCTTTTAAAACATTTGAAGTAATTCTGATGTTATTCAGTCATGTTTGAATTAATCCGAAATCAATTATTGGTCTAGGGAAAGACATATGCTTATATATGCATGTGTATGTACATGTATGTATATGTATACACACATATTTGTGAGTTTCCTTTTTTTGACATTACTTTATGAGATTATTTATACTTTAATGGCTAGGTGCAAAGACTATGTTTTTCCCCAAAGATATTGATAAATGGTACTGGCTAAGGAGTCAACTGTGAAATAACCACATTAAGTCCTCAGCACAGTTTGGTTCATAATATCTCTTGAGCTAATGTTATTATTGTGATATTTGACTGTTTTTCTGTCTGCTTTCTCTTAAATCAGGCTGAAGAACTCCAATCTGGCTATTCTATGTCCAATTACATGTATTTGGCCAAGGTAATGAAGACTACTTGTTTAAAGATCACTTTGAATCTATTTACATAAAAATGAGATTGCTACCTTTAATATAATTATTTTTCACTTCTAGTGTTGTTTTGATCTTGAGAAAAATCAGGATGCTTGGAAGTTCTGTAACATGGCATTATTACTCCCTATTGTTTCCAAAGAGGTAAGTCTACCCAGTGACAAGAGTACTATGCAAGATAAAACATAAACAGCTAGCTTAGTATATATGGATTTTTCTTTACTTTCTAAATATTTATTTTTATTTTCCAGGTTTGCTAAAATATACTAGAACTGTATATGTAAGGTGTATAACTTGATGTTTTAATATATGTGTATACTATGAAATGATAATCACCATCAAACTAAATGACATATCCATTACCACAGTTATCTTTGTTACTGCTGTTGACACCAAAAATTTCATCTTTTAGCAAACGCCAAGTGTACAATACAGTGTTATTAATTACAGTCACAAGATGGATATTTTTACAGCTTACTTATACTACAATTGAAAGTTTGTACCCTTCAGCCATTTGGTGTGGGGGGAAAGGGGAGTTGTAAATCACTCTCTTATTTTCTGCTTCTGTCATAGCATTTGTTGTTGTTGTTGTTGTTGATCAAGGGGCTTGAACAGTTGGCCTAGGCGCTGTCCCTCAGCTCTTCAGCTCAAGGCGAGCGCTCTACCACTTGAGCTTCAGCGCCACTTCCAGCATTTTCTTTTATACAAAAACATTTGGGCTTGTTGGCCTTAAATATCTATAAACCTGACAGGGATTTATTGAACAGGAACTGAGACCATGTTATAGTTTGTCACTACAAATGTTATATAAAGATAGCCTAGTAGCAAACTCTCAGACAGACCTAGTTTCTTTGCCCACACCCCACTATTTTCTTTTCTCTAACCAAAGTAACATGCAAACTCTTTATTGTCTTGGTCTATGGATTAAGTAACTCTTCCTTGTAAGAACTCATTTGTTACAATGTCAGTACTAGTGTGATTGGTATTCTATAACTACATGTGAGAATGGAACATTTGTTCTCATACTACAAAGAAGCTATTCCATCCTTCTCCTATCAACTGTTGAAAAAGATTGATGAACTCCTGAGTATATTAGCACTAAATGATCCTCCTTGCTCTAAAAAAAAATTTCTTTCTTAGATTTTTACATGTACTATAAAGTTTCAAATTTTTCTCCCTTTCTGTGAGATAACCTTTCCCTGAGAGGTCAGTTGAATCGTTAATGGACTTTCACATGGCAGCTAGCGTACAAAGCATCCTAATGCTAGTTAGGTGTAAGACTAGAGAGAACAAGACAAGCCCCACAGGAAGGAGCTGATCATTAAACTCTGTGCAGCAGACAAATCGTCACCCTTAGGGCACAGTGAATATGTTCATGTGGTTGGGTCCTCAATTCACAGCAGGAGGTGGCTATAAAAAATATATAAAGGCCATCTCCCACACACAGATTATACACACACACACACACAGAGTGAGAGAGAGAGGGAGAGAGAGAGTAAGAGAGAGAGAACGAGCGCACACTAGGGCTTCCTCACATCTCACAGTTGAAGAGAAAAAACAGCAATCCTGTTGACATGCTGGTGGATCCATTGTGTGAACTTACATGGAAGGCTTTCCTCTTCCTGAGTCCTTACCACTCCAGTTCTGATGGAGGAAGAGCCTGAAGATAACTCTTCACATTAACTCACATTTTCATAGATCTCCATCCTGCTCAGTACTAAGACATCCAGTTTCTCAGTAAAGGCCATTCAAAAAATAAGCCTGTACTCCACTGTAGTCTGTTTCAAAGTACCAGAGTAATTGTGTGAAATTTCATTATATTTGTCTTTTATAGGACAAAGAAGCACATAAAGAAGTGAAAAAAATAATTGCTGCCTTGAAGAGGTAAATAAAAGAACTTACTCTTCAAAAATCCGATGGGTCTACTAAAGTTTAAGTTTCTCATTTTTTTTCTTTACTATGTAAGGGTAATGTGCTCTGATTTGAAGGTAAAAATGTGTTTCTTCATAATGACTCTTATTAGCAGCATTATAAACAAATCATGTTATTTGGAGAATCCTACTTACTATAATGTCAGTATATAATGATCTATAAACATGTATGCTTTGTATTTTTCCTATCAATAAACTGTAGCCTTAAGAATATTTCTTTAAATAAAATATTTAAATCAATCAAATAAATAAATTCTAATATTGAATCCTTGTTTCAATAGAGATTTTGTAAAGCAAAATAATTTTATTAATGTTGAAAACTGAAAATAATAAGCACAGTTGTTGGTAGCAAAACCCAAAGAAGAAATACAACTACTAAGTGGAGATACATGGTATATTATAATAAAATATTGCTTTACTATCAAATTTGCAAGGATTTCTCTTCTTTCAGAAAATACTAATGCCAATGCCACAAGAGGAAATAGGCTCATATACTATTAGCAGGAGGGCATTTTTGGGAACAAACTATTGGCAAAATGTATCTAGAGCCTTTAAGCTACATAAACTCCAACTTTACCCTTCCATTTTATGGAGATATTGCTAAAGAAAAAAGTCCAAATGCTTTATATACAAATGTTCATACCAGTATAACCATATCCAATTTTTTTTTTTGGGTCCGGTCATGGGGCCTGAACTCTGGGCCTGGGCACTGTCCCTCAGCTCTTCAGCTCAAGGCTAGCACTCTACCACTTGAGCCACAGCGCCACCTCTGGCTTTTTTCTTTTTGCTTATGTGGTGCTGAGGACTCGAACCCAGGGCCTCAGGCATGCAAGGCAAGCACTCTACCACTGAGCCATCTTCCCAGCCCAACCATATCCAATTTTAAGAGAACAGTTACATCAGAATTAAAATGCACTACAGTACTATTTCTGACATAAGAAATTAGTATTTGTTTGGTGTGGTGGTGCGGAAATCCATGCACTTTGGATTGAATTCAAAGTCATTCTGGACTCCAAAGTTAGAAATACACTAAAATGGTTGTAGTTTATATATTTCTGTAAAATTGTTTTTTGTTTGCTGCATTTCCCAATTTTAATAATAAAAAATGTATATAATGTTTAAAAAATGAATATAAGAGCAGCATAGTGGCTGAAGTATGTAATCACACTACTTAAAAGGTAGAGATAGAAGAACCATAATGTAAAATTGGCCCAAACAAAAAGAGACTCTATCTGAAAAAAATTAACTAAAACCTAAAAGGATGGAGGTATGGGTCAAGTGATAGAGAGCCTGCCTAGCAAATTCACAGCTGAGTTTAGTTCCTAGTAACACACACACACAGAATTTAGCTTGCAACAATCTATAAAGGATTCCCTGGTATCCTTTAACTAAACTCGGTCTATAAATCAGAATAAACTTGAATTTTTTAATACATATGTGCTCGTGCACACACATGCACACATATATACACTGACTTACAAACTCAAAAGTTTCAAGCCTTACCTTAGAGGTGTCAGTTAATAAAATAGAACTATTTTTTCTCTTTCATCTTTTATACTAATTCTCACCCACTCTCTTCTGCAACTGGTCTCATATTGGAAGTGCAGGTTAGATGGAGGCCAGGGACTCACAGATGCCCTCATGGATTTAGAGCCCACAGTACTATGGATACTCTGGCTAGCTCTACATGATGAAAAGGACTGGAAAATTGTGAGAGCAGCAAGTAATAGAAAATTACATCATAGGCCTTGTGAAACAGCTCTTTCCAGTAGAAAATAGTACAAAGACTTCCTCTAAAAATTATGAAGACTATAGAGGCTCATTCCTGTAGATAAAGAAGTAAGACTTGGGGGATGGGAAGGTGGCTCAGTGGTAGAGTGCTTGCCTTGTGTGCATGAGGCCCTGGGTTCGATTCCTCAGCACCACATAAGCAAAAAGAAAAAAAAGACGGAAGTGGCGCAGTGGCTCAAGTGGTAGAGTGCTAGCCGTGAGCTAAAGAGCTCAGGGACAGCGCCTATGCCCAGAGTTCAGGTTCCACAACCGGATCAAAAAAACAAAAAAAGAAGTAAGACTTGGAAGTCATAATTGAAACATGACATAATGTCTGATCAACATTCATTTATTTTAATAATGTTCCTATTTTGTCCTTTTCATAAATGTCTTCACTAGGCAAGTTGGAATCCACCGATTGGATAAGTGGTATAGTAGTTTATGGATAAAGGCTTGACTCAATAATATTGAGCTTCAGAGTAATAGGAATTTCTAGAACATTTGGTAGTTTCTCCAATAGGGTATTTAAAAAAATTCCCCTTTGGGACATGGTCATACCCGTTTCAAGTTACCAATAAGCACTGCCATTTGCTTAGTTCCAAATTTACACTTAGACATATTTGTAGTCCTTACCAGATTACATGATCAAAAAAAAAAAACCACACAAAATAAAAGTGTGATGAAGTCAACTAACAATTTTCTAACCTGGTCACCAGTGGCTCACGCCTGTAATCCTAGCTATTCAGGAGATTGAGATCTGAGGATGTCAGTTCAAAGCCAGCCAGGACAGGAAAGTCCCCATGAAAGTCTTATCTCCAATTAACCACCAGAATACCAGAGGTGGTGCTGTGGCTCCAAGTGGTAGAGCACTAGCTTTCAGCAAAGGAGCTGAGTATTTTATTTTTGTATGACAGCATTACATATAGAATATTATACTTGCTCCAGAGAATGTCATACAAAGTGAACCACATAGACTAATTTTCTGTGGTTACTTCATTCATCACTCAGGACGCATGACTTTGGAAAGCCCAGATTATCTCTGCAGCAGTACTCTTGAAATGAGGATTTCTCCTGGTGGACAGCTAAGGTCAAGTTCCTGGTACATTCTGCACTCACAGATGAAGTACACAAACTGCTGACCTCTCAAAAGACTTTGTGTACAACTTTGGAAAAGTGAAGTTCAGATCCAGAAATGTGAATAGGTTCAACTTCAGAAGACACTCGTCCAACTGTCTTGTGATATTTCTCATAAAACATTCACGAAGTAACTGCGTGTTCCACTAAAATTTTAACAGTTGTGGTGTCCCTGTAATTTCATATAATAAAACAGATGGCCTTCATTGTAACAAGAAAGTTAGTCTGATTTCTTAGTTGTATCTAAAAGTTGTGAAGAGGCTTTTGTTTTATAATACTTTTATACTTTTGAAATTTAAAAAAAGGCAGTGGTAAAATACAATCATTGAAACCAAACTTCACATTATACCAAGGAACAGTTTAAGCTCTGGTGTATAAAGGGAGAGAGAACTGTTAGTAGACAAGACAGGATTGGGCTTCAGGCCTTGGACTCTCATTGTCTTCTACATCAAGCCAAGGGCTATTTGCATCGAACGGAGTCTGGCAGAGAATCGTGGGTGAGAGGATTGTAACTTACATGGCCATTACTGATTCTAAGTGTTTGTTTGTAAGTTTGTTCTGGATCAACTCATTTCATCATTAGAGCAACCCTATGAGGAAGGAGCATTCATTTTTGCTGCATCTGTAGGTAGAGAAGGAAATGCACAATATACTAAAAACCCATGCCTAACACAATGAGCAAGGGATTTGACATTGGACAACTGCTTCTGACTACTGTGCAATCCTGCCAGCAAATGGGGGAAGATAGAATGTGGAGATGAAAGACAGGAGCTGGCAGCAGCACTAAAAATGAAAGGAAGGAAGCAGGTTCTGATGGCTCATGCCTATAATCCTAGCTGAGATCTGAGGATCACAGTTCAAAGCCACTCAGGGCAGGAATCTCTGTGAGACTCGTACCTCCACTAAAAGTTACCCCCAAAATTCTGAACGTGGAGATTTGTGGCTCAAGTGGTAGAGCACTGGCCTTAAGCAAAAGAAACTTAGAGACAATGCCCAGGTTCAAGCTCAGGTCCCTCACAAAAAAAAAAAAAAAGGAAGAAAGAAAAGAAAGAAACGAAGGAAGGATGAAGGGGGGGAAAGGTTGATTTAAAAATAGTAACATGGGGCTGGGAAGGTGGCTCAGTGGCAGAGTGCTTGCCTTGCATGCATGAGACCCTGGGTTCGATTCCTCAGCACTACGTAAGAAAAAGCTGGAAGAAGTGCTGTGGCTCACGGGGTAGAGCTCTAGCTTTGAGCTGAAGAGCTGAGGGACAGTGCCCAGGCCCAGAATTCAGGCCCCACGACCTGAAAAAAAAAAAAAAAGTAACATGGAGGGATTATGAAGAGAAAGAAAATAGTAAGAAGTAATGAAAACTCTTAGACTTAGTTTTTTAATATTAGCCTGTATTTTCTAGTTTCACATCTTTAATTCACAATAAATGTGTTATCTTCCCTTACATTATTAAGTCTCAAATTCCCACCTTCTCCCTACTACCTCCACCAAGAAAAGGAAAGTTCTTGAATACTTGGTTGGGATATGACATCCCAACTAATTTAAAATTTGGAAATCTAATTTGTGCCTGGGAAAATTATGAACTGGAAGTTACATGTGGAAAGTGAGTTGGAAGTTACTGGTGTCATGCAACTGTACCTCCAGCCCTAATTGCACAGTCCTAGCCAGGCGGCTGGACCCACCATGTTGGGAATAGAATTCATCTGGTGCCCAGCACTGAGGATCATAATTTTTTAAAGGTCTCAACCATAATGGTAGTGATTTTCCCAGCCAAACCATTAATTCAATAGTTTATTTTGTCTCTGTTTGAGACACATTTAATTTCCCTGCATTCTTTTGTTCTAAGGAGCTCAGTGTACTTTGCAATTGTAATTAATTTGAGATTTATTGAGAATATTGTGGGGCCATCTGGAAGCTGTGCCAAATTTTGTGAGGGTCTGAAGAATATACAAGTTGGGGATCTTTAGGAAAAAAGGGTATAATGCTACAAATATAAAATTGAGCTTGTAATAAAAAAGACATCGTGACAAATTATATGATATAAAGAGCTGATGAATAGCCCAGACAACACAAAAGCTAGAAAAATAACATCTGATTATTCATTAATGATGTGGCACGCCTCTAGCATGTTTCCTTTAGCATTTTGTCTTTAGCATATTTTCTTTAGCATTCTTTTCTCATTTCACCATATGGCATTAATTTTAATGCCATTTTCTGTTGAAATGGTAGAAGATGAAATATTGGTATTTAGCATGATCAAGAGACATTTGTGTTATATTAGACATGATTTAGAAAAGCTCTGCTCAGTCTCATTTCTTGTTGGCAGGGGCCCGAAGCAACTTCCTCAGCAGCCCTTCTTCCCAGGGTGAGCCCTTGGAGAGATTTTGAGCACATCCACCCAAAGGCTGAATTTCCCTCACTAAAGCTGCCTGGAGCAATCAGTTCAACTCTTCCAAACCTTGGCACCTCCAGTGCCCAGCTCCATCTCAATCCAGCTGTGGGTGGATCCCAATACGCCTTGGAGCCTGAGTCATAGTAGGTCCAGGGATGGATACAAGCAACATCTTGTTTATATTCTTCTCTTTGCAGGAAGGAGGGTTAAAGGCAGGATCTAAAGCTCATTGTAGGCCTCCAGAAATAACCTGCCCTAGGAACTGGATGCTTTAGAAGTTAGAAGCTTGCCTGCTAACCATATTTACCATCAAATTCACCATAATGTTTAGGAACCAGGCTCCCCCAAGCCTTCCTCCTGGAGACAGGGCTGCTCTTGAGTGGATGGGTAGAGGAAAGACTAGGAGACGAGAGTGAGCACATGCTTATGTAAATGTCGCCCATTGAACAAAAGCTAACTAATCCCAATACTTGGCTATCTCCTTCCAGACTGTCCATGCAAAAAGGTCAGGAGTTAGCCAGGCATCAGTGGTACCCTATGTTCCTATACTACTTGCCATTGCAACAGACTTCCAGCACCATCCTGTCATGATTACTCTGTCTGCATTCCAAACAGACTGGATTGATTGTTGCTCAAAATTCATTTGGTGGTGCTGGGAAGGTGGCTCAGTGGTAGAGCACTTGCCTTGAATGCATGAGGCCCTGGGTTCGATTCCTCGGCACCACATAAGCAAAAAGAAAAAAGCCGGAAGTGGCGCTGTGGCACAAGTGGTAGAGCTCTAGCCTTGAACTGAAGAGCTGAGGGACAGTGCCCAGGCCCAGAGTTCAGGCCCCACGACTGGACCCCCCAAAAAAATTCATTTGGTACCCTTCTGTCCTGTGGTTTGGTTTTATTGTTTTCCCTGTTCCCACACCTGCCCATGAAAATCTTCCTCTCCCATAAAACCCAATTTGAATGATGGAAGATCATCCATAAAACCTTTGGATCTACATTATCAGTTGCAGTCTTGCTTACTTCCAAGTGCAAGAGCATTTTGTGTGTGTGTAGTTTTAAGATCTTCAGGTGACATCAGGAGTAGTTTTGCCCAATTAATATCTGTACGAACAAATCAAGCAACTCAAGAGAGACACTTCACATGTTCCTTAGAAGCCTAAAAGAGAAAGCTGAGAGTCATGCCTGCCCTTAGCGAGAGACATGACAGGGAGAAGGCAGAAAAAGAGCAAAGGGAAGGAAGTACAAAAAGGACAGGGGCTGGATGCTGGTGGCTCACGCCTGTAATTCTAGCTACTCAGGAGAATGAGATCTGAGGATGGAGGTTCAAAGCTAGCCCAGGCAGAGGAAGGTCAGTGAAACTTTTTTTTTTTTTCTGGTCCAGTCATGGGGCCTGAACTCTGGGCCTGGGGGCTGTCCCTCAGCTCTCCAGCTCAAGGCTAGCTCTCTACCACTTGAGCCACAGCACCACTTCTGGCTTTTTTCTTTTTGCTTATGTGGGACTGAGGAATCAACCCAGGGCCTCAGGCATGCAAGGCAAGTGCTCTACCACTGAGCCACCTTCCCATCCCCTCAGTGAGACTTTTATCTCCAATTAACCATCAGAAAGCCAAAAGTGGTGCTGTGGCTAGTGTCAAGCAGAAAAACTCAGGGACAGTGCCCAGGCTCTGAGTTCAAACCCCAAGACCAACTAAAAAAAAAAAAAGGTAGGGGGCAGGGGAAGGGAGGACAGTCAGGAAATGGGAAGCCCCACCTATCAGGGGCCAGACAAGAGACAGTAAGTCTGAGGAAGGCCAAGGGCAGCCTTAGACTTCTCATAGCTAATTATTCAATAAAACTTTTGTTGCTGGGATAAGTTAAGAAAACAATACCATTCTCATTTAACCAGGGAGAAAGCTGAAACAATGTATTCCATATACCTATTTAGTGTGAAGGAAGAGAACTTGTTGCCAGACTTCTAGCCCTGGCCTGGATATCACTGAAAGAAATCATATTTCAAATCACATAGTCTCCAGCCATTTATAGTTAAAGTCTATAGGGACTAGCTCTCTGTTCCTATTTGCCTCCAAAGTGTTTAAGGCTGTTAAAATAAAAGGGGAGACTCTTTTGAAAAAGATGTTTTTCTTGAAAATTGTAAAATTGCTAGCTTCGCCAAGTCAGTATTTCCCATGGAATGTAGGAATGGTTGATTGGAAGGGAAAATAATAATTTGAGATGAGTAAGAGACAAGAAGTTAGGTGTCTATATGAGATAAATTCATGGGACTGACCTAAAAAGGTGCCCTCCTCTCCTTAGGGAACAACTTACTTGCACAGGATTGGTGATTTTAATTTTATTTTATTGTAAAGATGGTGTACAGAGGGATTGCAGTTACATGAATAAGGTGATGAGTACATGTCTTGTCAAACATTGTTACCCCCTCCTTTGATTTTTTCCTACTATCCTTTCCCTCCTCCAGGATTGGTGATTTTGCCACAAGATGTTGGTAGCTCATATATACTTTATATCTCTTTTTATTTTCATGAAAAAAATGTGGAAAATGTAGATATCCATTGTTACAGAGTAATTAACATTTTATAACATAGTTACTTGAATTATGATATATCTGGCAGTTGCAAATCCCCATCTCAATTATGAGCTATCCCATTTGTCAGCCTGATCTGGCCAGAGAAATTGGAGAAAGGGACAAATCTTATCAGTGTTTTAACAAGCCCAATTAACTAAAAATGATCAACATTCACTTTCTCTACAAGAAAAACAACTTGCTGCGGTGCAGAAATAGTTAGCTACTTGTGTCTTCCTGACTGTCCCCTGC